TAAAATGAAGAAAGACTGCAGAAAGCTATAGAACAAAAGGATATGGGGGTCCTCATGCATGGATCAAAAAAATGCATCCAAGTTCAATGGGTAATAGGGAAAGCAAATGGAATGCAGGACTTTATTTAAAGGGAATGGAGTATAAGGTAGGAAGGTTTGTTAAAGCTATTCAAGGCACTAGTTAGATCACAGCTGGAATACTGTGAACAGTTTTGGGTGCCTTACCTAAAGCACATATAGATACTGACATTGGAGGCAGCCCAAAGAAGGTTCACTAGGTTGATCGTGTGTGTGTGTGTGTGTGTGTGTGTGTGTGTGTGGGGAAGGGGGGGAGGGGTTGTCATTTGAGAAGTTGGCTGGTTCTGTACTTATTGGAATAAAGAAGAATGAAAGGCAACCTTATTGAAACACAATATTCTTAGAGGACTTGACAAGGTAGATATGACAAGGTTGTTTTCCTTTGGGGACAGTATCAGACCAGATAACATAGCTTCACAATAAGGGGTTGCACATTTAAGAAAAAGTTGATGAGAAATTTAAACTCTCAGAACATACTGAATTTGTCAAATTCTTTACCAAAGATGGCTGTTCCAGTTGGGTTTTTAAGTATATTCAAGGCTAAGATAGGTAGATTTTTAATGAGTAAGAGAATCAAGAATTTTGGTAAAAAAGACAGGAAAGTGGAGTTGAGGGTTATCCGATCAACCATGATCTCAGTGAATTGCAGAGCAGACTCGATAGGCTGAAAGGCCTACTTCTGCTCATACATCTTATGATCTTTTGCTCCTCCTACATACAGTGACTTTGCTTAAATTGAGAACACTAGAAGGGTAAAAGCCCAAATTTGAGGTAAAATTGCACAGGCACTGATAGAATTTATATGAATGATCACATGTAAGATGAAATATACTTGTTGTCAAGATCGGCAAAGGTTTTTTTACTTCAGATACTATAAAAGTCTGGCAGCAATAAATATCTAAAGATTAGAAGTGGTTTTCTAGAACTGTAAAACAAAGCATAGTGAGGCCATTGCTGCTTTACTTAAGATCTGCTAATTTGCCATTGTTTAAATAAGCATGTGCTCTTATGGTCCTTATGGTTTCAGTATGATGGTGGATTCACTAATAGTGTATTGTTATATACTTTAAATAAAACCCATGTGTAACAGAACGCAACCTTACCTTTCAGCACAGACCATACTGTTGCGCAAGTTAGATTCAAAAACATGTCGGTGAATTGGCTGAATACTTCCATTTAAAACAGGATATGATTTTGTATGATAAGTTCTTATCAAACTGTTGCACGTTAAACAGAGAGGTAAACAAAGTGCATTCTTCCAAGGAATTCCTTTCCCAAGAATTTGTCTCTTGAGACAGGTGTGATCTGTCCACAACATTCTCTGATCATGAACACAATTAGAATGTTTTCTTTCGTTGTAGGTGCATGTTTTCTGCTGTCTTGCCAGATATTCTTGGAATATGAAGCTTAAGTTTAGCCTTGAACACAGTCGACCAGCAACCCATTTGGAACTAGAAACAAGCAGAAATACTTTAATAAACAACATTTTTACTTTCAATTCATTACATTTACAAACATAATCCATTACAAGTAATGTTTTTAATGCAGTACATCATTTTAAGCAGACTTTTCATTTTTATGGTTTCACTGCAAATTATCCCCCAAAAGGTCTCTTCCCCAGGTAAGGGAGTGCAAAACTAGAAGCCATAGGTTTAAGGTGAGAAGGGAAAGATCTAAAAGGGACCTAAGAGGCACCTTTTTCACGCAGAGTGTGGTGCATGTATGGAATGAACTGCTAGAGGAAGCGGTGGAGGCTGGTACAATTATAACATTTAATAGGCATCTGGATGCATTCATGAATAGGAAGGGTTTAGAGGGATATGGGTCAAATGCTGGCAAATGGGGCTAGATTAATTTAGGATATCTGGTCGGCATGGACAAGTTGGACCGAAAGGTCTGCTTGCAAGCTGTACAGCGCTATTACTCTGACTTCACCTTTTGCAATCTTCAGTTGAAACAATGATTTGTGTCCAATTGCTCAGTGAGAAACTGTAAGATTTTAGATGCTAAGAAGTTGACACAGAATAAACAACACTAAAAATTATTTTTCACCATTAAAACAAACTTTCCAAAATAACACACAAATAGTCATTTGGTCATTCACAATTTGAGTATTGCTGAAAAAAAGACACATTTAGTTGAAGATTTCATCTTGCACTCATCAGGACAATTTGCAAAAATAAATAGCAATGTAAGAGGAAAAAAAAATCTATACTGTATGAGAGGAGTTGGTTGGCTAGTGGACTTTGGTAGACATAGAGAATAGAGTGTTCACGATGATTATGAATTAATTGCCAAGCTTTGTTTAATTTTGCAGTGAACAATGGCTTGGATCTTATTTTCCAAGGTTGGCAATAAGGCCAATTATATAGTGTATGACATTGTAGGAATCTCAACATGTATATCGACTCATGGACGTAAGTTTGGGATAGCCAGTGGTAGGGAACCATCTAGCCAATTTCTTAATTATAATATCAAGGAAAGGGAGATCAATTAACTGCTCCATTTCAAAGGTTAATTTGAGTACAGGATGAAGCCCATTAAGACATGTGAGGAAATTATCACATGTAGCTACAGGTTCAAACACATTTGTACCATCTGCACAGCAGAAATATATAAACGATACGAAGTTAGGTGTCATTCCATCAAGGTCATGGGTCTCATGGAGAAGATGCTTGAGAGAGCTGGGCCTAGCAGGGATCCCACGGCAACACCATCGATATAGGGATATTTGGTTTCATTAACACTGAACTCAACTGCCTGAGCTGCTAAGCTTGTAAGTTCATTGTGCAAGCTTGACAGTGATAAGGATGCACAAAGCCAACCTGTGGGATAATGGCTACCACAATCAGATCATTTTTTTTGCCATATAAGCGCATACTCATGAACAAGGCTAAGGCTATGACATTGAGTTCGGAAAATTGCTCAGTCTACCTCCGATTACCCTGAAGGGCAACGCATCTCAAAATGTTTGAGCAACAGATGAAATTAGATGTTTCACACTGGTACAATACAATTGCAACACGAGTTGTGTTTGCCACTAACAGAAAGCTGCCATCAAGTCAAACAGATGTTCTGCTTATCAGGCAACTGAGTCATGCAGTTTATCAATTTCAATGACTGTAAAATGCTAGGTACATAGGCCTCATCCCAAATACTGATAGATCATATCAAACAGCAAATCCTTTGTTCACAAGAAACAAGGTACTAACTGTACTCAACCAACCATGCTCGCAGATCTCAACACAGAGTCCAATATTAGATGTGATTCCGCAATTGGAAAACATTGGCAAAATAATCCTGAGCGCGTGAAGAACCACATCGACAATCAAATCAGGGTTGTCAAATGGGCTTACAGTAGCAGACTTGTATACACTGGAAGCTACATATATTAATACACATGGCCCTGTTCTTTGTAGACATAAAGGGCATGTACAAATTGGCCTCTTCGTAGGATATGTGGAACAGTCCCTCTTCCACTGTACACTGGCACTATCCCCCACCTCTTCCTCCGCTACATCGATGACTGTATCCGCGCTGCCTCGTGCTGCCACGAGGAGCTTGAACAGTTCTTCAACTTTACTAACACCTCAAGCTCACCTGGATCATCTCTGATACCTTTCCCTCCTTCCTGGGCCTCTCTGTCTCCACCACCTCAAAACTGATATCTACTTCATCCCCACCGACTCCCACAACTACCTGGACTACACCTCCTCTCACCCACCTTCCTGCAAGAATGCGATCCCCTACTCCCAATTCCCCCGCCTCTGCCACGTCTTCTCCCAAGATGGGACGTTCCACTCCCGAACATCTCAGATGTCCTCTTACTTCAAGGACCGCAACATACCCCTTCAGTGGTCGAAAATGCACTCGACCTCATCTCGCGTTTCCCGCACCTCTACCCTCACATCCTCAACAAAAACAAAGACAGAACCTCCCTTGTCCTCACGTATCATCCCATTAATTTCCGTATTCAACATATCATTCTCCGCCACCTGCAATCTGACCCCACAACCAAGGATATATTTCCCTCCCAACTGCTATCTGCCTTCCGTAGAGACTGCTCTCTCTGCAACTCCCTCGTCCGTTCCACACTCCCCACTAGCCCCACCAGCCCCACCACCCCCAGGAGGTGCTACATCTGCCCTTACACCTCCCCCCTCACCTCCATCCAAGGAACCAAAAAAACCTTCCACATCAGACAGATGTTCCCCTGCACATCCGCTAATGTGGTTTACTGCATCAGCTGCTCCCGATGTGGCCTCCTCTACATTGGTGAGGCCAAGCGTAGGCTTGGAGACCACTTTGTAGAGCACCTGCGCTCTGTTCACAACAAACAACACCACCTTCCAGTCGCAAACCACTTCAACTCCCCCTCCCACTCCCACGACATGTCCATCCTGGGCCTCCTCCAGTGTCACAATGACGCCACCTACAAACTGGAGGAGCAGCACCTTATATTCCGCCTTGGGAGCCTACAACCCAATAGTCTCACTGTGGACTTTACTAGTTTCAAAATCTCCTCACCCTTGGCCTCATTCCATGACCAACCCTCCCTCTCATCCCCGCCTCCTTGACCTGACACAACCTGTCCGTCTTCTCTCCCACCTATCCACTCCTCCCACCTCACTGACCAATTCCCACCACTGCCTACCTGCACTCACCTATCACCATCACACCTACTTTCTCCAGCCCCACCCCTCCTCTCTCTATTTATTTCAGAGCTCCCTTCCCCCTCCCCCATTTCTGAAGAAGGGTCCCAACCCGAAATGACAGCTTTTCTGCTCCTCTGATGCTGCCTGGCCTGCTGTGTTCCTCCAGCTCCACACTGTTATCTCTGACTCCAGCATCGGCAGTTATTACTATCTCTGTACAAATACTCTGCTTGTTTCAGATAACAGCCATTCTCTGGTTCATTTCTCAGAGCAATGCCTTGACCAATCAAGGCCGACCTGACTGATTTTAAAATCAAATATATCTTGGCCATTACTATCAGTCATCATTAAAAGGAACATTTTCCATGGCAATGCCTTTACTAATCCATATCCGCTTGCAAAATAATCAGCAATCCTCTCTCACACAGTATAAATATTGTCTTGCCTTTACATTGGTATTTCTTCTCAACTGTCCTGATGAGGGCAGGTCAAAAAGTTTCGACAAAAATGTGTATTTTATCAGCAATAACAAAAATAAAAATAGTAGCTTCTTTGTGAAAGGATTTATCTACTCACTGCCATTACCTGTCAGTATGAATTTCTTCTGATATGTCTTCCATTACTTTAACGATTATCATTGAAAATGCAGCACCTAATTGCTCACGAATCAGCTGCTAGTTTATAGAATATTTTAGAACAATGTTTTTGCTTTGCGGTAAAGATCTATGCAGGTCAATGTAAATGATTCGCCACTGAATGCACAAATTAAAGTTTTTTTTGAAATAGAAATGTACATTTTTTTTCAAAGTCTGCCTTTAAATCTAGCCTAAGTTCCTGGGAACTCTAATAGTTAAATCTTAAATCAGTTTCACTTTCTTTAAAAAGAAATAGAGTTCATAGTGAGGGTAGCCCCCACTTTGCAAAATTAACAATTGTTGCATTAAGTTGACATTAGTTAGAAGAAATATCTTAAAGACAGTTAACATAAAAACTATGTCCCACATGGAGTTGTTAAAGCCCAGTATCAGATCATATGGCCCATTCGGTTGATGTCCGTGAACTTCTGAGACTGGTCCAGCATATTGGTCAAATTATAGCTTTGGTTGCTAAAGTATAAATACAATCATTCAAAAACATCAAGCTTAGGATAATCCTGCACAGTGATTTATTCTATTTTGCTGAGGCAGGATGAAGAGCTCTTTTCTATGCACTAGCCTGTGGCGATATTCAATCAGGAAGAGTACAACATTAAAATCAGAGATGAAATTTTAAAGTTAATTTATTTCCCAGTTTTAATGTCTTTTTCCTGGTCTTATGGTCTTAATGAGCAAAAAATGACATCACCAATTCATTTTAAGTATAGACATGGCTTGAAACTTTTGGCATTTTAGTTATACATTTCCCTGTTAATGGGGAAGATTCAAAGAATGCATACATCAAGACCCAATCTTCATAAAAAGAAAATTATTTTTCTAAAAAACCTCAATATTTCTAATGAGAATACTTCAGTCAGCACAGAGATTGAGGAACTTTGTACACAAAACATTGGCCCTGGTTCATATATAGCTCAAGTATTAATATTTTTCAAGCATCAATTTTTCTTCTCCCAGTACACGATTGAATTAAGTTTCTTCTATTGTTTCGATAATATATTTTATTTCCATTATCATAAATTTTGCCAATTTTTGCACCATTCCTAATTCTTACTAGTCTCAAAATCAAAACTTAGAGCTAGAGTAACAGTAATTCAAAACATTTGAATGTTTGTTTCCAGGAATTGATGATTACAAAATCCAAAGTGCATTTGGAACAAAATTCAAAACCTGGTTTTCCTTAAACTGCCAAGAAATGGCAGGATGAAGCATCAGCCGGCAATGAGCCAAAGTGTCTACTTTTGGACAAAGCACACATACAATATCATAATTCACAATTAAGTCTCCTTTGATTGCACAGGACAATTCTAGGTTGTTTTTTCTTGTTTTCCTCTCTCTTGGTCATTCTGGGAATAGTGATTGCCAATCTTCATGGTCAATCTGGACAGCAAGCGTTTAAAGTTACTATGAAGGCATTATGTTCTGTCATGCATGCCTACTTTCCTAGTAATACTCACTGGAAGCTAACCAAGAGAAGCAATTCCGGCAATGATCCACTTACAAATCCAAATAATAAAATTCAATTGTAATGATGAGCTAGAATTCTGGCAGATAAAACTGACTCATCATGGATCAAAGTATCAGCATCCTGTCCGTATGACACAGCTTCTAACTGACTTAACCAATCAGCCACCAAGGACATCTTATTGGAAAGTTTTTAAAAATAATCAGCTGAATCAGTAAGCCACCATCAAGCCTAACGTCTGAGCGTGTGTATATTTTCCCAGTCATTCTCCCACAAAAGTCTGTTTTTCACGCTCCTTTGTAAACAGAAAACTACACGTGAAGCCTTTACAAAACGTGAACACCAGCAATTCATCTTCTAGCATGACAGTAAGGATTGACATCAAACTAACAGTTGGTGGGGTGGGGGAGCTAGACTCAGAGTTCAAGGTAAAGATGGGTTAGTAAAGGGTATGCTCTAAGGCCCTTGGCTCTAACCCCCATTTTCCTGCAACAGCCATCCGATGACAAGAAGAAACTGTCTCTACTGAAGATTAGACCTTAACCAATGGACTTCAGGACCCAAACGCTAAATTAGATGCTGTTTCTGTGTCAATGCCCACAGCTGAAAATGAGTAACTTGTCCTTACTCACTTGTCAGGTCATACTGAGCTATACCCAGGCAGATTCAAAGCCATTGGAGACTTCAATGGTGATGCTATATTATACTTAGCAAAGATGTAATTAAGTCAATCAACCTCTCCAAACAGTGTGGGGTTTGAGGCCCAATGGCCATGTACCTAAGTCTGAGCAAGGAGACCCAGATTCAAGTCCCATGTATTCCAGAGATGTGTCACAGCATCTCAGAACAGGTTGATTAAAAATATATATACCAGAGAAGCTTAAGAGGTGAATGATAGGGAACAGGATAGCATTATCTACTGTGAACATCAACACAGAGATAGGCGCAGTTCTTTCACTTGCATGCAAAAGAAGTGGCACAATCAGGGTCTTTTGATCCCAAAATGTTTAAACTTTTCTCTAAAAGAAACACACAAACATAAGTTTCCAAATTAGAAGAATAATATCAAGGAAAAAATAACTGGCATCTGGAAAAGTATGGGCTAATAAATGAAAGCCAGGATGGATTTGTTCAAGACAAATTGTGTTTGATTAATTTAAATGAGTTATTTGCTGATCTAACTGAAAGGGTCAATGATGATAGTGTGGTTATAGTGCATACATCAAATTTCAATAAGCATTTGACCAAGTTTCAAATGAGAGAAATGTTGGCAAAGTTAAAGCCCATGGGATTAAGGAGAAGGAAGGTACAAACTGATGAAATGAGCAGACAAAATACAGGAGACATTTAGCATTGAGAACTGGGAAATGATACATTTTGATTGAAAGAATGAGGACAGAATATGAACTAAAGGATACAATCCTAAAGTATTTTTAGGAACAGACACCCCTAGGTATAAAGGTACACAAATCCTTGAAGATGACAGGATAAGCCAAGAAGCTTGCTAAAATAGAGGATCCCAGGCTTTATTTGTTGAGGAATAGAATTTAAAAACAAGGAAGTTACACCAAGTTGTATTGTAAGGCCTTAGCTGGAATGCGGAGTTCAATTCAGTGCACTATTCTTCAGAAAAGATAGCAAAGACTTGGAGAAGTCACATTGTTGTTTACCAGAATGAGGGACTTTAATTATGTAACAAGATAAGGGGGAAACTGAGGTTCTCAGAGTAGATAAGGTTAAGAAGAGATATCAAAGGTACAGGAAAATCATGAATGGCTTTGAAAGAGTAAATAAGGAGAAACCGTTTCCAATGAAAGACAGCTGATAACAAATGGAAACAAGTTTAAAAAGCCTGAAAGAAAAAGATGGACAGGACTTTATTTTGCACAGGGTTGTGAACTAAGGAGCACTGCCTTGAAGGATAATTGAAACAGGTTGAATGATAACATTGAAAAAAGAATTGGGTAAATATTTGATGGGAAAAGCAATACAGGCCCAGGGGAAAGAAAGCAAGGCGATTTGACTAATTGGAAACCTCTAAAACAGCCAACACAAGCACTAGTGGTTGGATGGCTTCCTGTCCTACATCTCTAAGCGCAGGCAGGCGGGACTAGTTTAGTTTGGGATTATGGTCAGCCTGTATTGGTTGGACCAAAGGATCTGTTTCTGTGCTGTATGACTCTATAATCACAGAAGTAATAAATGGTTACAATTATATAATAGTAACAGTGGTCCAAAAATATAAAGATCACAAGTGGAGTAAAAGAGACTTGAGTCTACATTTTAAAAATAGACTTTGAAGGAAAAGCCCCTGGGTGAGAGATGCATTCTGAGAATCACTTTGCACAAAATAAACTTTAAAGTCCAGGTTGTATACTGCAAGAAATAAGAACAGGGAGTAGGTCATTCTGCCCCTCAAGCCTATTCCACCATTTAGGGAGGCAATGGACTAATGGTGCTATCAATGAACTGTTAATCTTGACAGCCAGGTAATGTCCTGGAGGCCTGGGTTCAAATCCCACCCTGGCAGATGGTAGGATTTGAATTCAATAATAATCTGGAAATAAGAGTCTAATGACGACCATGAAACCAATGCCGGTTGTCAGGAAAAACCCATCTATGTCACTAATATCCTTTAGGGAAGGAAATCTGCTATCCTCACCTGCTTTGGCCGACATGTAACTGCAGACACACAGTGATGTGATTGACTCTTAACTGCTCACTGGGAAATTAGAGATGAACAATAAATGCCAGTCTAGCCAATGACGCTCCCCTAAATAAGTTTTAAAAAATTCAATAGAATCATGGCTGATCTGACACTCCTCACATCCACTTTCCTCATAACCCTTAATTCCCCCACCGATCAAGAATCTATCTATATCAGCCATTAATATACACATTGACTGCCACCACAGTTGTGTGGCAAGGAGTTCCAAAGACTCTCAATCCTCAGAGAAAAGAAAGTCCTCCTCTCACGCTTAAATTGGCAACCCTTAATTCTGAGACAAAGCCCTCTGGTCCGAGACTCTCCCAAGAGGTGGAATATCCTTTCAACCTCATAAGAATCTCATATCTCTCATCATTCTAAATGCCAGTGAGTAGAGTCCCAACCTGTTTAATCTTTGTTCATAAGGCAATGGCTCCATACCAGACTTCATTCTGGTAATAACACAAGTGTGGAGCTGGAGGTACACAGCAGGCCAAGCTGCATCAAAGGAGCAGGAGGGTCCCCACCTGAAGTCAACTTTCCTGCTACTTTGATGCTGCCTGGCCTGTTGTGTTCCTCCAGCTCCACACGGTGTTGTCTCTGACCCCAGCAGCTGCAGTCCTATCTCTGAGTTCATTCTCATGAACCTCTTCTGAACTGCTTCCAAAGAATTTACATTTTCCTTATTATAAGGCGACCAAAACTGCTCTCCATACTCCACATGGGGTCTAACCAGCACCCTGTACAGTTGCAGTAAGACTTGCCTACTCTTTGATACCAATGCGCTTCAAATTACGGCCAACGTTTTTTTTTGCCTTCCTGATTAGCTGCTGCACCTGTGTGATAAGTTTCTGTGTTTCATGCACAAATAACCCCTTTTTCTGATGAAGGGTCTAGGCCCGAAACGTCAACCTTTCTGCTCCTATGATGCTGCTTTGCCTGCTGTGTTCATCCAGCCTTGCACCTTGTTGTCTCGGATTCTCCAGTTCCAACCCCAAGTCCGTTTGTGTTGCAGCTTTCACTTTCTCTCCATTTAACTGATATTCTGTTCTCCCTCCTCCCAAAGCGAACAGCCGCTGTCAGCCTGGGAGCGATGATAGTGGAAAAGTGGCACTGCCTGGAAATACTAAATATATTAATGTTTCAAAGTTAAACCCAGTTACATTAGGTTACATCAGTGAGTGTGATTTTTCGGATATTGTAAAATCCAAATCGGGTGTTTTGTTGGAGTTTACAATCCGCGGGGCCGCACCGGGGTGGGCGGGAAACTGTGTTACCCGGGCCCGAGGTGTCTGGGGCCTGGTGGAGGCCCAGGCGGACACAAACCGCGCACTCACAGTGCCCACCACTTACGCTGCTAATTGCCGGTACATTTCTCCACCAGATTTCCGCCGCCGGAACTTTACCCGGAGAAGGCAGCACGTGGTGCCGGAAATGGGGGCCGGAGTCCGGCCCGATCCGGCTCGGCCCTCCCTCCACGGGCCCTGGTGAGTGTCTGTGGCCGCTGCTTCTTTTTTGGATGTTAAGCACCGATGTTACAGTTGACTTTTCCGGAGCGACTGTCACCCGCGTCCCCATCACCATCTGAATCTCCATACCACCCTCCCCCTCACTAACTGAACTCTTATTAACCCCCCCCCCCATCACCAACTGAACTCTTATTAACCCCCCCCCCCCAATCACCAACTGGAACCCTATAACCTATCCCATCACCAAGTGGACCTTTATACCCCCCCACCAACTGAACTCTATACCGCCTCATCATCAACTGGATCCCTCTAAACCACCACCTGCCCTCATTCACCAACTGGACCCCTATAGCCTACCCCCATCACCAAATGGGTCTCTGTAAACCATCCCCCCATCACCAACTGGATCCCCGAAACCACCCCACACCCATCACCAGCTAGACTACGATCACCCACTCCCTGCATCACCAATCAGATCTCAATCACCACCCCCCACCCCATCACCAATTACCTCCCCATGTTCTCTAACACTCAAACCCCTTCCACCAACTTTAATCCTGACACTCCATCCAACCTCCCCAACATCAGGCAACCCCATCTCCCAACTTCAGATTGGGACATCACTATCTCCTGTGGTCCCACTACTCCACGAGCACAACTTAAACTATTTTATCAGTTACTGAAATGGCCAATTATTTACATTCTCTGTATTAGGTTTTTTTTAATTCATTCACTGGTTAGGCAGCATTTATTTACCCATCCCTAATTGCCCAGAGGGCAGTTGAGAGTCAGCCACATTGCTGTGGGTCTGGAGTCACATGTAGGCCAGACCAGGTAAGGGTGGCTCATATCCTTCCCTAAAGGATATTCACAGTCATCATTAGATAATTCCAGATATTTTATTGAATTCAAATTCCACCATCTGCCTTGGTAGGATTTGAACCCAGGTCTCCAGAACATTATCCAGGGCTCTGGATTAACAGTCCAGCAATAATACCACTAGGCCGTCGCCTCCCCTAGGTTTAGAGTAAAAAGGTTTACATCATAAGCAGTAAAATTGATGATTTATTATGAAAACATCTTCAGCAAAGATATAAAGCTAATTAATGCAGTTTCAAATATGAAAATATAAATATATACCCTTTGAAATACCCAACTCTCACACCAGATAAAGGAACCAAGAAAATGGGTCTCTTTGCAGAGATTCACTTTGGACAATAAAGACTCTGGGCCAGTAATTGTTCATTCTTGAAGGCAAAATGGACAAGATACATAAGAATATACAATGATTGGCATTTTAATATGCATGGCCAGGTCACCAATTTAATGAGTGCCAATTTAAGACTAAAATGAGGAGGAATTTCTTCTCTCAGAGGATTGAGAGTCCTTGGAACTCCATGTCACAAAGAGCTGTGGGGGCAGATGCCTTGCATGTATTTAAGGCTGAAACAGTTAGATCCTTGATTAGTTGGGAAATCAAGGGTTACGGGGAAAGTGGAAGTGAGGAATATCAGGTCAGCCATGGTCCTAATTGAATGGCAGAGCAGATGCAAGGGACAGAAGAACCTACTCCTGTTCTTATTTCTTGTAGTCACGAGATATATATTTGTGGCTGGGGTCTGTGCAGACTCAGTCATTCAGGATATATGGAGACAAACTCAGTTAAAGGTTTCTTATGAGGGTAGTTAGATCAGTGTTCCCGTTACCACACTAGATGCACAACAAAGTATTTTTTTCAGAAACAATAGACTTGAGCTGTGAAGCTTCTGTGCTTCAGCAATTTGCACACTAACTCAACTCCCTCTAAATCACTGCTTAAACAAAAATTCGATCTCTGCTAGTCATAGAACCCAGGCAGGTGACTTCAAGCAAACAAGGTAGAAACCACACATCTCCCCCTCCCAAAAAAAAATCTTAATTTATCATTTAGTTTTAGGGCAAAGAACTCCACTGGAACATACACATTTGTTTGTTTTTGGCAACACTTGTTCTCATGCCAGATAGGTTACCTGCACTTCTGTGAACTCACTTTTGGCAAGGTTTATTACTGGTCAGCTGACTGTTTGTTTCTAAATAGAGCTCCCAGTTGTTCTATTCGATCGTTTGCTGGTCTCTGTATAAACAACCAGTATTGTTGAGGTAAACCACACAGTTAGGAATACTCGCTACCACTTGATTCCAGCTAGACAGTCTCTGGAAAGTTGTTGAGGCACTTTAGCCCAATAGCATAACTTTGCAGTGGAAAAGACTGCCTAGTATGCCAACGTCCAACATTTCTTTGGCTCAGGTTAGTAAAGAAACCTGCCAGTATCCCTTTAACAAATCTGTTTTGGTAAGAAATATGGTACTGCCAAGCCTATTAATATAGTCTTCAAAGCAAGAGTGTGCTTTTGTTATTCCATTGGCCTTTCTATAATCTATGCTGAATCTAATCATCAGGCTTAGACACTAACATGACTGGAGGTCTCCAGTTGGGTTCAATTAGGTTGCGTTCCAACATGTATAGAATTTCTATTTTCACCTAAGCCTGTTTCACTGGATCTAAGTGATATGGAAACTATTACATAGCAGAGGATTCTCCTACCTTCACATCATGTACAGCTAAGTATTGTACATTCTGGTATGTCCTATGGACTCCTTTAAATTTTGTGAGCAGCCTTGTTGTGTCACCTTATTTTTGGCCTCTGAATATGAAAGCAGAGTATCTAGCCTTCCTAATGGTTCAATGTTCACTAAGTGGACAGATGGAATTCAATTTGAGAATAATTTAGGCCTTGTTCTGCTTCATTCTCCCTATCTGTTTCATCCAACACTGCATTTGCTACCTGACATGCCTGTGCTTCTTTATCCTCATTCGGTGATGGCATTGTTTTAACATATTGATGTGACAGGCATTTCTCTTTCTGGAGATCTTGGTGTCAATGAAATAATTTACTTTACCAACTCTTTTGATAACCCCACAAGGACCACTGACCCATGAACTGAAGAAGAGTCAAGGTGAACTCAGAACATTAACTCTGTTTCCTTCTCCACAGATGCTGTGCGACCTACTGAATTCCTCCAGCATCTCCTGTTCTTTATTTTGGTTTGAGCTCATTGTGTTACTTAATGTTAGATCTGCTTGCTGAGCTTCAATCAGAGAACAAAACAGAAGTTACTGGAAAAGCTCAGCAGGTCTGGCAGCATCTGTGAAGAAAAAATCAGAGTTAACGTTTTGGGTCCAGTGACCCTTCCTCAGAACTGATGGTAGCCGGGAAAACGTCAGTTTATATGCAGAAAATAGGAAGGGGAATGGTAGGGAGTAAACAATAGGGTAGAGCCTGAAGAGAGAGAAGAGCAGTTGGATAGACAAAGGAGTTGATAACAATGGTGAATAGCTGTTTATGGGGACTGTTAGTGACTAACAATAGGTAGTGTGTAATGGCAGGCTATGTGATAACAAGACCTGGTGTTGGGGTAGGGGGCTAGGACATGGAGAAAGTTTAGGCCCTGAAATTATTGAACTGGATATTGAGTCTGGAGGGCTGCAGGGTCCCCAAGCAGAAAATGAGGTGTTGTTCTTCCAGCTTGCGTTGAGCTTAACTGGAACACTGCAGCAAGTCAGAGACAGAATTGTTGGCCAGGGAATGGGGTGGTGTGTTAAAGTGGCAGGCAACAGGTAGCTCAGGGTCTTTTTTGCGAGCAGAACGTAAATGTTCTGTGAAGCCGTCACCCAGCGCTTCGTTTGCCCAATATAGAGGAGACCACATTGTGAGCAGCGAATGCAGTAAACTAGATTCTGGGAAGTACAGGTGAAGTGTTGCTTCACCTGGAAGGTATCTTTGGGCCTTTGGATAGTGGGGAGAAAGGAGGTAAATGGGCAGGTATTGCACCTTCGCTGGTTACAGGGGAAGGTGCTGTGGGTGTCCTGGAGGGAACGGTCCCTGCGGAAGGTGGACAAGGGAGCGGGTGGAATATGTGTCTGGTGGTGGCATCTCGCTGGATGTGGCGGAAATGGCATCTGATGATCTTCTGGATGTGGATGCTGTGGGATGGTAGGTAGGGACAAGGGGAACCCTATCGCTGTTGCGGAAGGGAAGAGAAAGGATGAGGGCAGAAGTGTGGGAGATGCGCCGGAACCGGTTGAGGGTCCTGTCGACAACGGTGCTGGGGAATCCTCGGTTGATGAAGAAGGTGGACATTTCAGAGGCTCCCTTATCAAAGTTGGCCTCATCGGAACATATGCGAAGGAGACGGAGGAACTCAGGGAACTGGATGGAGTCTTTACAGGAAGCAGAGTGTGAGGATGTATAGTCCAGGTAGCTGTGGGAGTCAGTGGGTCTATAGTGGATATTAGTGGCCAGTCTATCCCCAGAAATGGAAACAGAGATGTCAAGGAAGGGAAGGGAGGATTCAGAGATAAACTGGGTGAAAGTGAGGGCAGGGTGGAAATTGGAAGCAAACTTGATGAACTTTTCCAATTCCGGACAAGAGAGGGAAGCAGCACCGATGATATCATTGATATATCAGAGAAAGAGTTGTGGGTGGGGGCCAGAATAGGACTGGAACAAGGAATGTTCCACACACCCCATGAAGAGACAGGCATAACTAAGGCACATGCAGGTACCCATGGCCACCCCTCTTATCTGAAGAAAACGAGAGGAGATAAAAGAGAAGTTGTTGAGAGTGAGAACGAGCTCGGCCAAGCGGAGGAGGGTGGTGGTGGGTGGGGACGGTTCGGGTCTTTGCTCCAGGAAGAAGCAGAGAGCCCTAAGACCCTCCTGGTGGGGAATGGACAGGTAAAGGGATTGCACATCTATGGTAGATGAGGCAGCTGGAACCTGCAAACTGAAAGTTTTGAAACTGGCGTAAGGCATCAGAGGAATCGTGGATGTACGTGGGCAGGGATTGGACCAGGGGAGAGAAGACTGAGTCAAGGTAGGAAGAGTTGAGTTCTGTGGGGCAGAAGCAGGCTGAAACAGTGGGTCTGCCCAGGCAGTCCTGTTTGAGGATTTTTGGAATAAGATAGAAGCAAGCTGTGCAGGGCTGGGGGACTATCAGTTTGGAGGCAAGAGTTAAGAGAGGTCACCAGATGAAATGA